GGCTCGGAATTGTCACATGCAATAACTTATTGTCGTATTCGTTATTTTATCTTCTCGATAGTAGCATTTAGTCGCACATTTGATGCCAGGTCACCTTGTCGCGTACCTCTTGGGGAACCCCACATTTATGTGTGTACTCATGGAAGTAAATTCCCCGGTGTAGCCGAGAGCCACAAACTTTTCAACAGGTTCGAAATGACCAATTTCTCTCATATATACTCTAAATATTTTATTATTTAGCACCTACAAAGTATTGCTAATAACCATATGTAATTTCAATAAGGAAACTTATCTGGCTACAAATAAACTCAATATCAACACTAGCTGTTCTCTCAACACGTCCTGGCTTACCTTGTGGTGACAAACCCTGGATTTTCGCTATTTTTAGTTTATCAACACCTGGACGCATGCGCATTTTATAGTTTATCGGGCACTTTAAATGAGTTGCCATTAAATAGTAGATTAATCCGGTAGCTGACAGCCGAAAGTTCCATTCGCGAATATAAGCTTAGACTTGGCCTTGAACATGTTACTTTTAGTCCGCAGTATGTCTTTTTGGACACCTTGGAGTTCCTAAAAGGGGGTAAATGCTTTTGATAATCTTTGAAGTCAGCATTAGTTTTGCTTGGTTTTTCACGAATGGACATTTAATTACAATTATATTTATTACATGTAAGGTATTATATATCTTTGAGAATTGAGTATACTTTGATGCTCTAGTTTTGACTCATCTAATCATATATGAATCTGGCTTTTTGCCAATAGCATAAGAAATAATGATAATGAATGAAAAATGAGAAAATAATGGTAATAAATTTTGATAATTAAACTGCTTCGTGTAGCTCTTCCAAATTGCTCAAATCGTCAACAAGGAGTCGGTCAAGTAAAACCGCTACTTTTCTTACTCCGCAGCGTTTCTTCTTTTTGATTCAGCAATGAAACACTCTGCTGTAAATGTAGGAACATTTTGATTATACACGGTGATAAGTGTTTAAACAGAAAATGCAAAAATATATCTAAAATAAGTTTAGCAAGGTATATCTGCTCTACAGCCATACTGACACCAAAAACATGGTCAAGGTAGTGGGAAAAGTTGTGGAAAACATAGAATAAACAGCTGAGCTATGAAAGTACACAAATAGTGACTGCCATTGAGGGGAATAGTGCAAAATATTTTTCACGGACGAATATCCTGTCCTCTGACATGCTCCCTCGGCCGTTTACACTATTTCCAGAAAATGTGCTAGTCCCCGGTCACTATTTGTTTTATTATATACAAAACGACAATTCCTTTAATTTCATTATTGAATGCTTACAGATTCTTATTGTCATCTAAAGGCATTTTGACATTCAATTGTTACAATCTCAACTATCAGGAAAGATAAAATATACCAATGACTGGTCACATGACCTAACTGGTGATTGGGACATTTCATCTTCCCTGTTAACAGAAATTTAGAACTTTCCAGGGGATTATAGTTCATCTATTTCATGTCACGTGACCTTAATAAATCAATGAGCATCTAGAATCCACATGGGGTAGATAATAATAATGCACAATAATACAACTTTGTTCAACAATATATCTTCGTGAGAAAAATCTTTTTTGCAGATGATTCAACTGTTCTTCGAAAGACAATACATCGATGGTGATTACGATTGTGTTTTTGATTTTGTCAAAGTAATAGATGAAACTGGGATAATGGATGAACAACATTTATGTGCGAACTCCCCGAATCCTATTGAATCAGCAGGACCCTGGCTACGTGTCGAATATAACAAAACAAGATTGAGCGAGGCAGCGTTTCTGGCAACATACAAAACTGTTGATGAAAAAGGTGATAGGAGTCGCACTGGGAGTGTTCAAAGATTAATGGGTGTATTTTACAAATTTAAAGTGCTTCTGATATTTTTTTCAAATTTGCCATCAACCATAAAAACTTTGAAACAAAATAAGCAATCCATACTGATAACGCTTAATTTATCTGAAATGAAGCTGTTCAATATCCTCTAAAGGGGGTCTTACACTTCATATTATGTAATCTGTACAATATTCTTCAAGGAAATAAGTAATCACAATCATCATGCATTCTAATAAGTTGCATATTATCCATAGTTCCATGAAGGAATACACGGATAATGCCATTGAAATATCTGTGCATAAATCGTTCTTTACCTTTTTGATCACTCCTCGTACTGTGTTGTCGAATATCAAGATTAAGGGTTGAGTGGAAATAATCCAAAATGGCGTTTTACTAGGTACATTGGCAACTAAAAATCTTTATTAAGCTATCACTTATATATTATGTAATATTTCTCACAGGCGTGTTTTAAACCAATTGATGTTTCCTCATACTCTAATAGATAAGACACAGCACCAATGCGTTCTGATATCAAAGACATTGATAGCGTATGCATTTCTACGCATGAAATCCTTATTACATATACGTAAAATTGAAGTAATCTTCTTTTTGGTTGTAGAATGCCGCCACCCATTTTATCTAAATAGTAGTCATGGTAATTTCACCTCACCTAGATATTTGAAAGACTCTTGCAATAATGTGTACCCCAATTCTGAAAATTGTACCTGGGAGATTGATGTTGGGGATGGTATGGTAAGTATTAGACAAGTTTCGTTCTTATTATATTAAATGAAACAACTTTTGATAGCTGTATTAAAGATTTCACAATTGACACGATTTTAACAATGTCAGAAGAAATTCAGATCCATGATAGTTTCTCACTTTAACTGTGCTGTTCACCTTAACACCCCAGTCACATTTGTCGCACGGCGGCCGCAAGTCGACCGCAGAACAATTAAATCAGTGAATTTCTGCGGCGAGCGTTGAAAAACTACGCTCGCCTTGCGGCCTCCATACGGCGAATGCAGATTTTTACAGGCCGCGGGGAAGGCGTAGAAATTATAACTCGGAGTTATAATATTTGTTCATTTCTGAGGTCCCCGTAGAAATCAACTGGCTCAACAAGATTGAATCATTATTTGTCAATGTTTTACGATCACTTTTCATTTGATATTACATCCTAGCACTATGAATAACATTTATAAATTGTCCTGGTGTAAATAAAATGAAAAGTATTATTAAATAAAGTACTATTATTTATCAACAGAAATTTAAAATTCACCGTACGGCTGCCGTGGGAAATGTGACTGCAAAAGTATGAGAGCGCAGAAATTCTGCAGCGAGCGTAGAAAAGCAACTGGCCGCAGAAATGATAGACCGCACGGCGGCCGCATGAAATGTGACTGGGGTGTAAAACATCGGGAATCAATATGAGGAAAATCTTCAGTAAAGAGTATCTCTTATAAGCATATTATTTTCTTTTTACATTTTATAGGAAATTGAACTAGTGTTCAATGAATTTAGATTAGAACCTAGCGATGGGTGTGACTATGACTTTGTGAAGATAGATGATGGCCATCGTAGTATTAAGCTGTGTGGAGACAAGGAATCCTACATGTACAGATCAACTGGATCGTGGCTGCGTGTTGACTTCTCGAGTGATTCCGAGGTACCGATGAGGGGGTTCCATGCATCATATAGGGCAGTTCCTGCAAGTACAAGTATGTGTAAATTTCATGTGGAAGAAACATGTATGTCTCAGTCAAAGATTGTGATGCCATGATAGCTACTTTACTAAGCATAGATTTTGCTGGGTAACAATGAAGAAATCTGTGAAAGAAGATGTTCGATATGTTTATTTTCATCAGCAATAGAAGCTCTCAAGATGTCCACAGTTGACAATATTTATCTGAAATGATAACAATTCAAGAATTCAACAGTCACAAGAGCTGTTTTGGCGTCTTCTTGGGCATGACATGTATTGACCCTCTACGTTGAGATTACAGTAGTAGCCAAAATGCGAAAGTTCATCGACACCATGGTTAACTATTTAGTCAAAATAGTTTGTGAGAAATCACCAAAGCTCATATACATATTCAATCGACAGCACATTGTCCCTCGGAATAAATCCCATACTTAACCCTCCCAAGTAAAAGTCCTATAAATATATTTTATTGTTTACTAGTTTGAATAAGCATGACATAATTGAGCTTCAAATTAAATCATCTTTATTTGTAGTATCAAACAGTAACAGGACCATTCTCAGACTGACAGATTCATGCACGAGGCGATATTTGTACGAGAATACAGGAGAGATATCATCACCTGCTTTTAAGTGCTTTCGTAGGTCTATACGTAATATGGAATGTTCCTGGGATATTCATGTTCAGAAAGGAAAGGTAATGAACCATACCTAATACATAAACCATTGCCAACATGATACAGAATTGGAGCCACTATTGCCGTCAACTGTATGCTTTTCCTAAAAATACCGAAGCTGCCCGTCAGATGATTTCAACATCAGAACGCATGTGTGTCACCCGTCATCTCAGTGTCACACCCATCATATCCATGGGGAATAACTCCAGAGTTTAAAGATGACATACGTTCATTACAATGTAAACCTGTATTGAGATGATATACATCTCTGATTGCTCAAAAATCGATAAACAAGTGACGTCAGCAATGGCGGTTTCGAAAATTTTGAATGGTCTCTTAATATTTCTTGTATGTGGTTGAATGGTCTCTTTACCTTTCTTGTATGTGGTTGAATGTTTTTTACCTTTTTTGAATATGGTTGAATGATTTCTTTACATGAAGTGGTTGATTGTTTCTTTACATTTCTTGTAGGTGGTTGAATGATTTCCTTACCTTTCTTGTATTTTGTTGAATGGTTTCTTTACATTTCTTGTATGTGATTGAATTTTTTCTTTACCTTTGAATGGTTTCTTTACCTATACCTTTCTTGTATGTGTTTGAATGGTTGCTTTACTTTTCTCGTAGGCGGTTGAATGATTTCGTTACATAAGTGGTTGATTGTTACTTTAAATTTCTTGTAGCTGATTGATTGTATCTTTACATTTCTTGTAGGTGGTTGAATTGATCTTCGATGACTTTTATATCAATAATGGTGGTGTCGGTTGTATTTATGATTTTGTCAATCTAACAGATGAAGTGGGGAGAATTGAGGAACCACATTCATGTGAAAACTTTGGAGCATTCTTCCCTCGTGCTGTTAAATCTGCAGGACCCTGGCTACATGTAGAATATAGCACATCTTCATCTAGAAGGGGAGGTTTTCAGGCGTCGTACAGAGCAGTTGATAAAAGAGGTAATGAGGCCAAACGGGTAGTAATCGGTTTATTTTACACCGACGCTTTTGATGTGCCAATCTCTTCTGATCTTTTAGCCCCGAAAAACACAAGGAGATAATATGCTTCAAAAGTCGCAACAGGTCGCCGGTCTGTATTCCGTGATAAAAGAACACGGTCATTGTTTATATATAATTTGATTGTTCATATAACGTGTTGCATCGTATAACTAACTTTTAAAGTATAGAAGACAAACAGATGAATCAAACTACACATTATGAATCAGTGACACGTCGCAAAAAGGTGGCGCACTTCTGTTTTTAGGGTATCGCATGAATGTAATTTTAATTCTTCGGAATATTAGTGAATATTCTCATTTTTGTATATCATTTTAAAGCTGCTTTAATGATGTTTTCAAATCAAGTACACTCCTTTCACAATTCTTGCGCGTTCTTTTTTAAAAAAAGATTCTTTTACCCCAAAATCTGGTAAATATCCGCTGTCGACATGTTACATTTTGGATAATTTTTCGTCTTTAAACGCTCATAAACAGTTTTGACTATTATACTTTATTTTCGTCTTGATAAAGATAGATGGAAGTGTTGTTTCAAAGAATTAAATCTAGTAAGCGTCCCATATTGTGACGTCATATAGTTTGAAAAATAGAATCCGTCGACAGCGACCTTTTTTACTCATTTTTTGTTACCTTGAGCTTTTCAGGTGTACATTAGACAAAAAATAAGACACCGATTTTCAATAATTCATACATGATTATTTTGCTCATAAACTCTAGTTTATTAATAGATAGTAGATTTTGTTCGCAAACGTATGTGTTTTCTGTTGTATGTGGAAAAGTGGAGTACGAAAGGTTTTCAAAATTCATTTAAATAGGGCGAATTTAGGCCATTCACCTATTTTCAAACATAGCAGGACATATATTTATTTCACTTAAAATATCAATTGATTCGTGTTTTATGATGCTCCTAACCCATTGTTAATATGTATACGATATCAGAGTTATTCGTCTCGAACATTTTGAGATATAGAGGCAAATGTGGAGGACGAAATGATTTCCAAATGTGTACATTTTTCTCAAAAACGTCACATTCTGTCGTGTTAAAAAGCGAAAATGTGTAACAATACGTGCGCGAACCATTTGCGACGTGTCAGTAAACTAGCATGTGTGCAAAAATAAAAAGCTGATTATTTAGTTTTTGAGATAATCCATCCTCCCAATCCTCTACTTGCCTATACCCTAACATGGGGGATCAAACTGTTTTCTAACTTTAGGTAAAAAACAAAGTCTACGACCCCAATTTTTATGCCTGAATATGAAGCAGAATGATAATTGTACACTTTTATGTAAAGTAATTTCAGGCCTTGGTACCTACAAGCACCTTAATGTATCCACTCGGTCTTATTTTTTCGTGCGCACATTGTATTGCATATAGCTAGGCATGAGTTAATGGAAATAATTTTTAAATATATTAAGTATGTTTTCAAGTCAATAGAGTTATATTGATGAACAATTTCAACAGATTTTATCCATTGCACCAAAACGTATCTTTACAATCAACTTACTCTTATTTCTTTTATGGCCGAGTGCAACGTTACATCAAAAAGTAACACAACTTATAAGGAGGATAAAACGACTTATTCTTATTTCCTTTAGCTGAGTGCAATGTTGCACCAAAGATTATTACAACTTATGAGGATAAAACAACCGATCAAACAGCTGGCACCACTTTGGCTGATGATGAAACAATTTACAAAGCCGTGCCCGATGAGAGAACAACTTACACTGTCTCGTCTAATGATAAAGTAACTCACACTGCGCTGTACGATGAGAGAGCAACTGCTCACACGGACAAGTCTCATGATAAAATCACTTACACGAATTTGCCCGACGATAAAACAGCCAAAGGTACACAGTTTAAACGTTCTGTATATGTTTAAAATACCTCTAGGTAAAACGATATTGGAAATAGCAAGGACGCCTTTACCTAAGGATATTTTCAAAAAACACCGGGGAATATTGTGGATCATAAATATATATATGATTTTTGCAGGTTCTGGAAGCGGGAGAGTGATCTATCTCGTGGAAACGGAATACGTAACCATTTGCATTCCAGTTATTCATTATCTAATCATACAGCTGTGTATTGGCAACTGAGTCAACTGTTGGCCAAATAATGAACATTATTGAAATGGCATGCACAACATTGAATTCAATTAGACGTAAACATGTAATGACTGTTAGCCAAGTTTTGAACAATATGAGAATGACATACATAGCCTTTTGTATTATTCATTCATTTTCTAACAAGACTGAGACAGCTGTATTTTGGTCAAGGAGTCCGCCGTTAGCTAAAGTATGAACAACATGAGAATGACATCTGTTCATAGCCTTTTGTCTTTCATTCATTCATTTTCTAACCAGACAGCTGTGCTTTGGCCAATAAGTCGACTGGAAGCGAAAATATAAACTGCATTGGAATACACAGAATGCCAAACCATTTATCCATTAGCAGACATCTCTATTTTGGCAAATAAGTCGACTGGAAGCGAAATTATAAACTGCATTGGAATACACAGAATGCCAAACCATTTATCCATTAGCAGACATCTCTATTTTGGCCAATAAGTCGACTGGAAGCGAAAATATAAACTGCATTGGAATACACAGAATGCCAAACCATTTATCCATTAGCAGACATCTCTATATTGGCCAACGAGAGTCGACTTTGGCAGAGTCACGAATGGAATTGCAGCATTGATGTTATTCCGAACTAGTTAATTTAATTTTTAAAGTTGTTCATTTTAAGTTATTATTCCGAATATACCGTTTGTACAAACCAGTTGCGTTAGACTTTCTCTTTATTTTGTATTTAAGAAATATAAACCGAAGAGCAGGGGTATTATCGTCGGATACACCCCGCAAGCCTAGGCACAAATGTTTTCTGCATCCCGGACACCTAAGTGAGTGAGTGGTTCGAAAGCTTTTGTGACTAGTCCTAAGGGGTGTATTCGACGATATTACACCTGCCCTGAGGTCTATATTACGATTCAAACATGAAAACTCACCAAAATGTTTCGAATATTTATTATTGCCCGCTATTACACCGGCCCGCCGTTATGACGTCACACATTACTCGAAGTTACAATATGCCCTTGTCTTATCAAGCAAACAGTTGTTATTCGGACTTGCAGTTAAAGGGCTTCAACAGAAAATTAGTACCTCTATTTTCACTTTCGTGTACACATACCTTAATGTATTAGGTTAATGCACACGTTGAATGAAAACATCGAGACAGTGTCAAAGAATGAATTATTACATAACTCTATAAACATTCATATTGTAACATAACATATACAAACAAACGACTGCATATAAAAATAATAGTAGCTTTTATTAACAAAAAAATAATAATTTAACTTTCACATCTCATAAATCCAGAGATCAATTAAGTTTTCATGATTGTAATGGCGCTTTAATCACACGACCTTGATATAACTGGATCTTGCGATCTGTTCTTAAATGTTTGATAGTTATCATTAATATCATGCTCAACGGTTTGTAACAATTTTGTCGTATCTTCATTACAAGGAGTACCTTTATCGACCACAGGGTATATGTTTATAACGTGGAGAAAACAAAACAAAATGGCGATACAAGATGATACGATGCCTAATGCATACATTAATACCATTGGGCTGATGTCAAACATCACAGCAACAAGCGGCGGAAGTGACATAAGACCTGTACATCTTCCGAAAAATATCACCATTAAATTGTGTTTGTCTGGTTTTATATATATGGCCGACCAAGCTACTACTGATCCATTCAATGAGGCCCAGCTGAGACCCAGTATACCAGCAAGGATCCACAAAACCGATTGTGATGTCTCTACTAGTAAAATCAGTAACCCAGATGCGATTAGAGAACCAATCAAATCCACGATAATCATTATCTCCGGTGATGTCCTCCTTGCAACGGCAATCCCTAATAATCTCCCTATAGCCATGGTACCCCAGAACATAGATGACATATAGTTTCCCATCATTTTAGACATCCTTAGCTTGCTAGTAACACTGAATACAGTAAGTAGATTTGCGAATGTGTCCTGCATTCCGTAATATAAAGTTGAAAATACAAAGATTAATAAAAGGGAAATCCCTGATTTCATCGTATGTTTTTCACTTTGGTTCCTCACACTTGCAGTTAAGATAACCTTGGAGTCCTCTCCCAGAGATTCGGGAACACGTGACCGTTTCTGCGATATAAATATTAGTAAAAAACATATTGCTGGTAGCAGCAGAATTAATCCAGCCGTGACGTAAAACCACTTTACGTTGCTACCAGACGAAAATTTAGGATTGATATATACATTAGATTGCACTATTCCAGATGTTGAATTAAAGTTAAATATTTCAGTTTCCCTTTTATTTTCTGTTGGGACTTGGTGTGACAAGAAGGGTTGAACCATGATAGGTCCCGCGATGGCTCCAATGGAAACTCCTAGATATACAGCTTGAAGATATGACGGTCCGTTTGTTTTTCCTCCTATCTTTAAACTAACAGAACAAACACCTAAAATACCAAAAGTATAATAAATATAATTTACGATATTAGCAAAGTTCCCTTAAGGCAGATCTGCATGATAAGATTTTTGCAATTCTAATTATTTTAATTTATATATTGTTAAGAAAAATTAACACTCGATTAATAATCTGGGTACACTAAAGCACCTTATATGCAAAAATGAAATATCTAGGCCGTGTTTGGAATGAGATATGCTCATCAGAAAAAAGCATGTTGTCATCAAAATGGCAGAAAGTGCAAATTGTCCTTAGCTTGAGGAAATGTCCATTTTAGCTGCGCATATACCATGAGCAAATACTCTTTTAGTATTTAACCCATGCATACAGTATTTCATATCTAATATCTCAAAGTTCAATTGAAAATCATTTTACGTAATAACATGACACACATGTAGACACATTCATCCAGTCAAGTAAAATTATTTGACAAATGATATGAACACCATGATAGATAATATATAACAAAGAAAAATGATACAAACCTATCCCTACGACACCTATCGCTAATCCCTGGAAGCAAAATGCAGTACACATAATCGGAAGTAGGCCAAATATTGCTACGAAAGATGTCGCCACTGCCTGTAGTAAGCATGCCCCAGCCAGGAGCATTTCGTCATTGCCGTTTCCAAAGAATTTTGGACTTATAAGTGAGCCAATCAGAACGCCGAGAGATTGAGATATGAAGATATACGATGACTGGTCAATATCTCCATTAACGGTCTCTAGAAGGTCCAGCAACGTTGGTCCAACAGAATCAAGACAGAGGCCCTAAATATTGAATGCAACGAATTTTAGATGAATGATCCGGATTCATAAAATAAAAATGGAATGGCCTTTATTATTGTACTTTAAAAAAGTAGATCATTGAATTTTCTAAATTTTCATTTTCATAGATAAATATTCCCTCCCAGGAAGGATTGGATCCCAGGGTGCATCATTGATATTCTGTCCCATATATAGGCATGTCGTAATACAAAATTCGAATCCAAACAGCCGCCATTTTGTTCACTTCAACATTTGAATCGAAAATCTGGCCTTTTCCGAACGAAAAATTCAAAAACTCACAAGAAATGATCGAGATATTTGTTTAAATGTTTTGAACTCTTTATTTTGAATTTATAGTCGGTTTTAATTCCAGAAAATAGCGACGATTCGACGTTTTCATTGTTGGAAAAAATCGAGTTTCGATCTTTGGAGCCTCTCTTCCTTGCCCTCCCAGGTAGTTTATATTCAATAGACTGATAGTTATACATAGTTATCCATACAGTTGGGGACATAAATAAATGACAGGTGGATTTGCTGAAGTGAGGATTTCCCATGTTAAAAATAAGAGAATTTACAAGAGGCCATACATCAGTGGATGAGATTATACAAAATGTAAAATATACAAATTTTAAGAGATATATATCTAGACAATATTGGAAATTATGGGCTTTCAGACCACCATAATTAGGAAATGGTGATCGAAAATCGACCTGTCATTTATTTTTGTCCCCAACTGTAGTTAATTTTGTACCAGAAAATAACATGAATTTCCTAAAGTTTCCATTGAACTCCTACCAGATATTCTAAAAGTAGACAATGTAATGATACTTTCCTGAAAAAAGCAAGGAAATTGACACATGCCTTCATACTTTATTTTGAAAAGAACATGTGCAAGTATAGCAATTTTTACCAAAATGTTATTTTCCAGCTGTACCTTAAAAGTTTACTGTAGTGCCATTCCTAACTTTTCTGTTTGATTGACTCACAAATCTGTGTTTTCACGTGCATAGTCGACAAAAATCAACATACCCGTCCGACAAAGGCCAGTATCAATGCTGCCAATTCAAAATACAATATCCGTTGTGACATGCTATGAGTCGGAGAGTCCATTTGTCCACTGGATGTACTATCCGTTTTGCAATAATGTTATGTAATCAAGGTCACCCTACATTCGTACATGTAGGGTGCATGCATTGTCCATGGCGTGTTGATCACCTCATCGACTTATAAACTACTAACGTTACCTTTGCGTAATGCCTTGGTCACATGTGTTCCGATTTTCACGACACCCGGCCGATTGAGTATTTTATTCAAAATTGAATACAATATTGAGCAAAACACTCAATCGGCCGGGCGCCGGCCGATGGATTGGAGCATATGTGACCCAGGCATTAACCCAGAACTTCGAGGTAAGTAAACCTACAGTTTTTAGGTTCAATACGTATCATGGTGTTTTCTAGCTTTGTTATACCGTGGTCACATTAGCCTCAATTTTCAGCACCGGCTCCTCGCCGATGAGTATTTTGTTCAAAACTGAATGCAATTTTGAACAAAATATACAAGGGGCAATCCATATATTCTGATAAAAATGCTCTCAGTTTGTGATTTTTTCACATATCCCTCTCATTTTTCAGAAAATGTAGATTATGTAATTACATATACAATGCTAAAATATTATAGCTATATCTAAAATTATCAATGAGATAAGGTTGCCATGGTAACCTGTATTAAGGGTAGGCAAGTCAATTAAATTATAACATATAAATATCATAATAACTTGTTATTTTAATTATTTTAAAGCATACGGAAATCTAGTTCAACGTCGTTAAACTCAATAACGGCGTTCTTTATTATTAGGAATTTTCTTGGGGCCATTATTGTGTTAAATGTTCATTTATACGAGTAAAATGAGGCTACACTTACCAATTTCTAAAGTGACATTTCCGCATGTCCGGCATTGTGTCTGTTCGTCTGAGTGTCCCGGATCGTAAAATTAAACTACAAGCGAAACGAAATTGTTGTCAAATAGATTATTATTATTAAAAATATTTTATTCGTCTATAAGTTCTACATACATTATATTAATACAATTGGACGAAATGGATCGGACAAGAGGCTTTCGCCTATTCTTAGTTCTCTCCTTTGATTGTCCATGGGCTTTCAACTAGAAGGGTATGCAACTCTATGTAATAAGATGAGACCTTCAAAATGAGCAATGACATGCTTCCCTTTTATGGCAATATTTTAAAAAGTATTAGATAAATGTATATGTTTTAGTATTATTTTGAATAAAAATCAATTTTTAATATGATTTAAGCATAAAATATATTCAATATCATATAAAAGTAAACAAAAGAGACCAATAAGAATAAGAGTTATCAAGATGTTCTCTTTGAGTATTGCATTGTGGGTAATTATTCAAGAACACATTCCAATAAAAACATAATTTGTGGGAGAATGTTCACTTTCTGTATTGTCATAATTATGATGAATTCCAATTTTTATTAAATTATCAAGATGTATGTAGAAGATCATGTTTTTATTTTTGAGTTATTTCTTTTAATCATCAATAAAAAGTACAAAATAAGATTTTCTTGGAATGTGTACATTCTCCAATTTTGAAAACCCATGGCAATGTTTATGTATGAAATATGGGAAGTTGCCTACCCTTCTAGTTGAAAGCCCATGGATTGTCCTAGAGAATTATTACAGTTTTATTTATTTGTGCAGGATGGGAGGCTTGGGAAGAAATGAGAGAGTGAAAGGAGGAAAACTACTAGTTAGAGAATCTTTTTGTAACTCTTATGTAATTGTGAACAGCAGTGAATGTGGCTTTGTTTTCTTCATCTGTTTTCCTTGCATTTCCATGGATAAGTTCTGTCAATGTTGTCCTAGGTAGAATTGTTTTGTGTCTTTGGTATAAAGTACATTCTTTGAAATAGTGTTCGGCACTTTCTATTGGGTTTCCGCATTCACATTTGGGGCTGTCCTTTACATGGTTGAGATGTAGATCTTGGTTTAAGTCGCTGCATCTAAGTCTTATCTGTGTGTGTATTATTTGAGTGTCTCTTTTCCCATAGAAATAGTAATTTGGTACCTTCTTCTTGTTTGTTATCAATTTTTTGAAGTGCTCCTCAGCTTTTGTGCTTTTTATTGATGCATCAACGTCATTCCACACTTTTATTGTGGCTGGTAGAAATGATTTTCTGTACGCTTCAGTTCTGCATACAGGCATTAATAGGTTGTTAGCTCGTCGGAGATCATGGTCAGACCTTCTCTTGGTTGATTCAATCACATTGCTCAACGAGTCTGTTATTTTTTTGTTTATGAGTTTGTGCATTATTAGTAGTTTTTGTGTTGTTCGACGCTCTTGAAGTTTTGTCCAACCTGTTTCTTTGTATATCAACTCATGGCTTGTTCCTATTTTTGCCCCTGTACAGATTCTTGCAGCTTTTAGTTGTAGTTCTTCTAGTTGGTCTTTTTCATAGTTATGACAGTTGTCCCAAACTGGAGAGGCATATTCAATTATAGGCCTAATAAATGCTTTATACATAATTTCCAGTGTTTTTCGATCAAGTTTATATTTAAGTCCTCGCATGACATCTATCATCTTGGCAGCTCTATTTGTTATGTTCCTTATGTGTGATCCCCATGTTCCATTGTTGTCTAATGTCAGGCCTAGATGTTTATGGTTAGTCACTTCTTTGATAACTTTTCCATTGAAAGTGAGTTGAAATTGTCCATTATTTTGGTGTTTTCTCGTGAATAACATTGTTTCTGTTTTTTCTGGGTTGAAGGTTAGTTGCCATATATTGGCCCACTCGTTTGTTGATCGTAGTTGTTCGTTGAGAGTTTCAATTATGTTGTCGTTTTCTTTTCCACTTGCAAGAAATGTAGTATCGTCTGCATATATCCTTCCAGTGCATTTATCAGTTAGGTTTTCCAAGATATCATCTATGTACACCAAAAATAACAGTGGTCCTAGGATGGAGCCCTGTGGAACGCCTGCAGAGATATACCCCCAGCTGGATGTTTCGCCATTGAGAATGACCCTTTGTTTTCTGTTGGATAGGTAACTTTTGAACCATTTTAGTAAGTTTCCTTTGATTCCCTTCCGTTCTAACTTGTTAACTAGGCCTTTATGCCATACTCGGTCAAAAGCTTTTGACATGTCACAAAAGACGGCTCTTGTGTTTTCATTATTCACAATTGTCTCCATGATGTAGTTGTACATCTCTAGTAGTTGCGTTGTTGTGGAGTTTCCTGGGGAATAAGCAGATTGGAATTTTGACAGCAATTTCCATTTGTGTAGGTAGTTATGTACATGAGTATACATTGCTCTTTCGAATACTTTCGCTACACAGTTCAGTAGAGATATTGGTCTGTAATTTGTTGCTATTTCTCTTCTGTCTTTTTTGAATATTGGTGTAACATTCGCTTCTTTCCAAATGTCTGGGAAGACATTCTGTTTTAATGATGCATTGAATATTTGTGCCAGTATCGGGGCTATTGATTTTGCAGTCATTTTTAGAACACGTGGACTTATATTGTCAGACCCTAGTGACTTTCCTGGATTCAGATTTATAAGTATGTCTTCGACTGTCTGATTTGACAATCTTACCGTTTCTATACTTTTGTCAGTTGATGCTTGGAGAATTGGTGGATCTTGATTAGTTTCCAGTCTGCTTTGGGCTAAAAAATGATTATTCAATAATTCAGCCTTTTCTTTGTTGTTTGATATTGAATGACCATTGACAAGAAAGGGTGTTTCATTGTTGAAATCGTTGTAGAACTGTTTGACCACAGTCCACCAGGTCTTTGTTCCAGTTTTTCCATTGACCAATTTCTGTGAGAGTCTTAGTTCGTATTCTTCTTTGGCATTTCTGAGTTCGGTTATTGTTTCATTTCTCAGCTTTTTGTATTTTTCCCATAGCGTGTCTGTTCTTAGTGTTTTTGCCATATTGTAAGCTCTGTTCCGCCTTCTAATGAAACGTTTTATTTTTGTTGTGATCCATGGCAGATCATTTTGCCTTATAGTTATTGTCTTTTCTGGGATAAACTTGTTTATTATGCCTTTAAATTCTTTATACCAATTCTTTACAATTTCATTTACGTCAGTGTCATTGTTGTTATCATGTATATTTAGTATTTGATTCCAGTTCCTACTCTGTATGTCTTCGTTCATCGCTTTCCAGTCTACAAGTTTATAGTTTCTTATTGTTCGCTTATAGTCTTTACCAGACTGTTTTTAATGTTTATTTCTGTGTATATGGGGCTGTGCTTGCTCATTGATGGTGTTAGTACATCTGTGCGTATGATCGTTCCTGGAGATGTTGTTGCCAAGATATCAATTAAGGTTGCGGCTGTATCTGTTATGTGAGTAGGTTCTTCTATCATTTGATGTAGATTGTATTCTTGAAACAGATCATCAAGTTTGTTGTTCGTCTCATTAAGCATGTCACAATTTAGATCGCCTACCATATAGACATATTTCTTACCATTGGCATATTCTTTGATATTTTCAAGTAAGTTGTCTATGAGAGTCCATGTGTTTGCTGGGCTGTTTGGAGCTCTGTACACTGTAGTTATGAGAACTTTTTTCGTTTCTATAAGGACTTCGATGCATAATGCTTCTAGTCCATTTGGTACCAAGTTACTTACATTTTTGAAAATATAATTTTGTTTTACGAAAATAGCAACACCTCCTCCCCTTCTTTCTAGTCTGTCTAATCTTACTGGTAGATGGTAGCCTCCCAGGGTAATGTTGCTGTTAGGTACATTATCGTCTAACCACGTCTCTGAGTGACACACTATGTCACTGTTTTTTGATTCTATTTTCAGTTGGTCCATTTTGTTCCTTAAACTTTGAGCATTCATGTGAATAATGCTGAAATGAGTCGAGTTTCGAAATTGTTCTTCTGCTGATAGAGTTGATGAGATTGATGATTCAGAGCTACTATTATGCCCGTCTTGGTTGCAATTCTTAGCCATCATTGTTATGGTGGCTTTGTTGTTTTTGATTTTTGATATTTAAGGGCATTTATCTCACAAGTTTTCCTCCTTTTACCATCTCCCTTCTCCCCCTTTGCCATCTGCACTATGATTAAGAGATTATTTATTGTAGCAATGATTGAATAGAAAAGATAACTTATTGTGATCTAAAGTGTTCATTATATCGTAAAACGTGTCTGCTTTTCTGAAAGGAAAAAAAATACATTGGAAGTCAATGTTCATATTTTTTTTAATTGGTGACTGCGTACACCATTGATTAATTTGATACTTTTCGAGTAAAAAT